AGGTAGGAATTGGAAAGCCATTTGGTTTTATGCTTTCATTGTCTGAATGAGAAGAAAATATCTCCAGAGATAAACTAACTTTTCAATGGTGCATTAGACTTATCCCATAGAGGATGAGTTAGAGAAAGATGAACAGAATGAAGGCTGAACAAGGAAGATGCTGAAAGCCAGATAAGAGAGTCAGAAGTGGAGGGGAAATGAGAGGCTGAATTGGTGTTTAGAGTTTAGGGAAGGAGCACTGGTTATTTTTTCGGGTGTTTTTTTTTGTTTTGTTTTTTGTTTTGTTTTTTTGTCTGTTGTTAGATGAAGGAAGTCAGAATAGAGGTATTGTAGAGTAGTTTTATTTAAACAGAAGCTAAACAGAAACTTTCCTGAGGAAGAAGTAACATCTTTAACTGAAATGCTGCTTCTGCAAATTCCATTGCTAGCTGTTCTCCTCGCAAGTGGTGACAATGAAGATGGTAAGAACTCTGGCAACTGCCCTGTTGGGTGCAAAAGGGATGTGTGTGTGTGTGTGTGTGTGTGTGTGTGTGTGTGTGTGTGTGTGTATTTTCTGTGTGGTGCAGTGTCCCCAGAACATACCTGGAGAGGAGAATGTCAGCATGGTTCTCAGTATCCCGTACTCTGGGACCCTGTGCCCTTCTGAAGGTTGTTTGTAAAGCCTGGGGCCCTGGGCAGCTGAATGTCTGCTGAGGTAGCCATGGCTTCCCTAATCTCCAGATTCTGAGTGTTTCCTTCCTGGCGCCTTTCTTCATTCTCTCTCCTTCCCGATGCCTTTTCTTCTCCTCATTCTGTTGGTTCTTTAGCCACAGCCTTCCAGGAGGAGATCTCCTTCAAAATTATCCAAAGCATATCCTTCTACAATGATTCCTGGGTGAAAAGTCAGAACTCAGCTTGGTTGGGTGACTTGCAGACTCATGGCTGGGACACCAACTCTGGCAGTTTTATTTCCCTGCATCCTTGGTCCAAGGGCAACTTGAGCAAGGAAGAGATAAAAGAACTGGAAGAATACTTCCATAAGTTCTCCATTGGAATGCCGAACAAATTTCACAGACATGCCAGTCAATGGCAGCTTAAATGTAAGTTCAATTCCCAAAATGGGGAGGTGCAATGTGCTGGGTGAGGGGTGTGTCTCTCAATGAGTTCCTTATTCCAATTTTCCCCACATTCAATCTTTTCAGCATTCTCTGTCTGTACGTGTATTGTAACCTATTTCATTTCATTCACCCTGGGTTATTATAATCACAATTCTCACACTATGTGCTTCCTTATTCTCTTGCTCTCACCATTTATGTCACCTTCTTTCAACAATTTGCTCACTTCAATTTCCAAAAAATAGTCATTTTTTCCTCTATCTTCAACAACCACCAATTACACTTTTTCTGAAATTCTGATTAAACCAAAGTTGTTCCATTATCTCAAAGCCCCCATACTTCTACTATTTTCTTTTTTTGCTTCCACTAATTTCATCTTTACTCCCTTTCCTCTAATTTACCATCCCTCTTTCCTAGATCCCTTTGAAATTCAGATAACAAGGGGCTGTGAACTGCACCCTGGGGGACCCACAGTAGCCTTCTATCGATACGCTTATCAAGGATCAGAGGTCATGCACTTCCAGAACAATTCATGGTTTCCATCTCCAAAGGGTGGAACAAGAGCTCAGGATATGTGCGAAGTATTCAATCAGCCCGTGGTCGTCACGAATAGAGTACAGAGGATTCTCAGTGACACCTGCCCACGTTTCCTCTCCAGTATTCTTGATGCAGGGAAGGCAGATCTCCAGAGACAAGGTCAGTCCCATATCCTTCCTTCAAGTATTTTCTAAAATTATACCTTCCCACCTTCCCTTTAAATTGAGGATAAGGGGTCAAGAGGGAGAAGGATAATGTGTGATGAATTCCCAGCATGGGATAGATGTGTCCACCTAGGCCAGTGGTTCTCAACCTTCCTAATGCCGCGAACCTTTAATACAGTTCCTCATGTTGTGGTGACCCCCAACCATAAAATTATTTTCGTTGCTACTTCATAACTGTAATTTTGCTAATGTTATGAATCATAATGTAAATATCAGATATGCAGGATGTATTAGGTGACCCCTGTGAAAGGGTCGTTTGACCCACAAAGGGGTGGGGACCCACAGGTTGAGAACTGGTGGTCTAGGCTGATGTGAAGATATGAACCTCCAAGTCAGTGTTAGTGTCCTTATCTGAGTATCTCTCCTGTTCTCTGCAGTAA